GCTCATGGTGCCCATCCAAGCCTTTTCCAAGACAAAGGTGGGGCCAGTGCAAGGACTTACTTGCAAGATTGCAGAGGCCACTCCATCCCGGAGGAGGAGGATGCATCTGGCTATCTCACCTTCATCCCATAAGCACCTTCTACAGTCAAGGTGCTGCAGTGAAACGGAAGATAAAATGATGAATAAAATACAGAAATTGACATCAAGGGATGCAAAAGGGAAGTAAATAGGAAATTGTGATGGAGTCTGGCTTGTGATATTATAGTGCTGTACAAAGTGTGCTATGGGAGCACATGTAATGGTCATCTAACAGGAAGAGATGACAGCCAAGCTGTCCTGAAGGATTCCCAGAACTATCTTCTGATTATAATTAATTCCCTGGCTCTGTTGCTCTAAGAAGAGAGTGAGCTGGCCAAAAGTTGTAAGTGTCCTGATCTCCTGGCAGCTTTGCTTCTCACTGTAAATGTATAACACCGGCTTCTGGTAACAAGTGGATCTCCCACACAGCTTGCCTAGAGAAGGAGTACATCAGCCAAAGGATGTGAGTGTCCACTCCTCTCATCTTATTTTCAAATTAATGAACTGTCTCTCTGGTTTTACCGTCTTTGAGAGTTTGGTGCCTTTGTATATGCCCCTGAAAAAAATGTATTAATTCTTGATGTGCTGACAAATCAGGAATCTGAGATTGCAAGACCAGCTCTGAACGTTGGGAATTCACCAGGGTAATATCATCCCCCTTGGGACATGCCTGGGTCTGGATGGACACCTGCCTTCCCCAGTGACAGCCTTCTGCTCTGCGTGCTTCTTTGATCTTCAGTCCTGAAGGGTGTGGCCGTGTCTGAGGCTTCTTTGATTCTGAGTCATCCTCTTCAGCATGTCTGCCTCAAAACATTTTGGTTTTTAACAAATCTGTTCCTTGATTTCTTTCACTTGCATTCAATCACATCAATATAGTTAAGTCCACATCTATTTGGGGATTGTCAGATGCAATGATACTATAGAAGAAGCATGTTTTAAAAATGAAACATCAATAATTTAAAAAATTCCTCAGCTGTTTTGTTTTTTTATACATCCATACCACGTTAACTTCATTTTCTGCCTTGGCCTGTGATCACCAGTGATCCTCAAATAAGCCCATCAACTGAGGACGTCCCCCAAGCTACACTTCTAACTGAAGAACGAGAAACCAAATAGAGTGAACTCCTTCCCAGATGAAGACAATTTCTCTCATTTCCAGTGGTTTCTCTGTCAATCAGCCAAATTCTTTCATCTGTAATGGGACATGGCAAACTTTTTCTTCAAAGATCTACAGAGTAAATACTTCATTTATTTTTTTTTAAAGATTTTATTTATTTATTTGAGAGAGAGGGAAAGCACAAGCAGGGGTGGGATGGGGAGGAGCAGAGGGAAAGGGAGAAGCAGACTCCTCGATGAGTAGGGAGCCTTAGTGGGGCTAGATCCCAGGACTCTGGAATCATGACCTGAGCCAAAGACAGACGCTTAACCGACTGAGCCACACAGGCGTCCCCCCAGTAAATACCTTGAACTCTGTGGGCCACACAATCTCCATTACAGCTACTCAACTCTTGCCAGTGTAGTGTGAAAGCAGCCATGGACAACACGTAACCAAATGAGTGTGGCTGTGTTCCAATAAAACTGTGTTTATGGACACTGAAATTGGAATTTTATATAAATTTAATGGGTCACAAAACAGTGATCTCTTTTTGGTTTATTTCCAAACATTCAGAAATGTAAAAACCATTCTTAGCTCAGGAGACACGCTAGCAGCTGGTGGATCTGGCCCCTGCTCCATAGTGATGAATACCGGCAGTGATTCACTATACATATGTGAATGTGTGTGGTATCTTCATAATACTGCCTTACCAACCATGAGAATTATGACCTATAAATGGGTCTTAAATTCATAGGTGGCAAACTTAAATTCTTATGGGAAAAATATCTTCACTAAAATTAAACAATGATCAGCACACAAAGACACACCCACACATACACAAAGACATTTTACAAATCCTAAACCCCAAAACAGTGGGTACCATGTAATACATTTCTAATTACCACCCCTGCTTAGAAAAAATTTGTGAGATCAATGAAACAGAGGTAAGTTCGTTGTGCTTTAACAATATGTCTGCTGAGACTTTTTTCAATGTCTTTTTATCCATCCAAATGTTCAATGTCTTTCCAATTGTAAGATCAGTATTTATACAATCTCATTTCCTCAGTCCCACCATAGTCCAAGAACTTGGATGCTTGATACATGAAAAACGTTGGGTTTTCTTTCTTTAACCTAATCTGCATATCTATATATTTTTCAGCCCCCTCCCCCCATGCACGTTTATATAGCATTGCCTGTCTATGATAACCTTCTAGGCATGACTACAGAACATTTCTAAGGCTTGATTTTCCTTGTTCTGTTTGTTTCATCTTGTATTGTGTACTTCTTTACTCATGCACTTTCTACTTTAACTCCTCTTATTATTTTCAACAGGGTCCCTCTTTTTCTAGCTGTCCACAACAGGTGCCACTTGCTTGATGCATAGACCTAAACTACATTTTGCAGCTATGGAAAAGGTCCCAGCATCATATCCCCAAACAGTACATAGGGGTTCACTGTGCCATTCCCTCTTTTTGTGTGTTTTATGCTTGAAATGTCTGTAATCCAAAGTTTTAGAAAAATGGAGCATACATTCCTATGCTCTGGATTTGGTCACAAGAGGAATTTGTAGTTGGGAAGAAATTAGCATATTTATATGACACGCCTGTGTGTCTTTGTTCACATTGCTCCCTCTGCTTGGCATGCCCTCCCCAAATTCTCTGATAAAATTTCCCTCAAACCTCCAAGGTCCAGGCATGAACCTGTGGGAAGCATCCCTGCCAAGCACAGCTGATGACTCTCTCCTTTGCGTTCCCAAAGCATTTCATACATCTCTGTAAAAGCACTTGTCATCGCATTGTGGTTAGTTGATTATGCAGCTGTCCCAGCCCCACCACCCATCCGCCAAGTCAAGAGCAACTCATCTTTTTTTTTTTACCCCCCTCACTGCTCATGCATCCCCGATGCCCAACACAGTACCTGGAATAAAGTAACAAGATTGCAATTCTCAGAAATACTGAGAGTAGTCCTAACTTCCATCAGCACCCTGAATCTTCCTCCTCCCCCACAAAATTAACAGACAATTTAAGTAAAAATGCAACTTCAAAACAAGTACCCCATGGACCTTTTAAAATGAGATTGCCACTCCTAAACTGTTCTTCAAAGGAATTCCAGCATCAACACTGCAGAAAATGCAAAACACCACAAAATAAAATATTTACCTGGCACTTCAGGTTTTCAAAGTACTTTCACCATTTGCTGTTGCTGTTTGGTCCACTAATTCTTGGTAAGACAGATAGTTCTATCCCCATTTTTCAGACTCTCAAGGAAATAAAAGTGACATCTCCAAGATCAGAGCTGTCAGTTCTGGGCCTAAAATCCTTAACTTATTGATCTATCCACTTTCTCTACTCCATGAATGCTAGGCTCAGTATTTGTGGAGGCTTTTTTTCCCACCTCTGGTAGATTCTTTTTCCCTATTATGAATGGTGGCATTAGATTGTGCCTCTATGTTCTAAAAACACATTTCAAACAAAATCATTTGGGCAGATACACATTATGAAAAGACAGAATCAAATATACCCCACTTGTGTTAGTATTGCTCTATGATTTTGCCATAAGTACTTATTGACTAAAGGATTTCCAGTGAATCACCGACTGTGCAAAAAATGGCATGCCATGCATTTCTGAAAATAGAAATATGTAATCCATTATAAAAAAATTCACTCATGAAGAAAGACTACTATTTATAGGTCAAGCACAAGAGCTTGATTTTCTCTTTTTTTATAACTCATCTTTCCTAAACTATTAAATTTAGATTACTTATCACATTAGCAGGCTCTTCACTTAAATATACTCTTAGTTCCTCTACATAATTCTGAATGATTTAACCATCACTTCAATTCTCTTACTATTTATTGCAAGCAATTCTTCTAATATTAGTACATATCATTTTCGAGTAAACAAGGCACTGCCTGCCAAAAAATCTTGCTACTGTGTGGTAATTGAAAGTAAAGATTATTTCACAGATATATTAATTTTTCAAATGAGCCACATTTAGCTTTTCTCAAATTACCTAATTTTTTTCAACAAAGACCTATAATAGTAAAATATTCAGAGCATGTCACACTGAAGATTTTCAAGTTTGATCTGGTTACGAATCTGCTAATTGTAAAAATTTCAATATGGCAGAGCCCAAAATATTTCACACAAATGCAAATAGAGATGTCATGCAGATAGCTGCAAGACATGAATCATTGCCCTGCCGCATCAAACTCAAGAATTCAGAGGCAGTTCACTCTGCAAGATCTCTCGCTCTGTTCTTAAAAGTTCAGATGCATCACCTTATAATCAGGGTAATAAAGTATAATTGCTAACATACTGTGTGATGTTTACCGCTAAACCCACAATCTGGACAAACAGAAAATTATGCTGTCAGAGCCTGGAAACAATTGCAGTCCGCAGTTACACGGGGGCACCCTCCTTATACAGAGCTGTCGTCGGGAGTAACACTGCTTTATGGTTTTAATTTTTTAGAGTAAGGGTCTTTTCCCGAGAAGCAGGTATTCAGACGAAGGCGGTCTCCCGCGTGACCTTCCTAACACAGACCTTGAGCAAGCGACTGCGGGGGCAGGAGCTGAGAATTTCAGCGAGGCACTTGACAGCTCCGCTGGGTCCCTCACACTTTGCTTCCAGGAACAAAAAAGGAATGTTACTCCGCACCTGTCTTTTCCCCCTCACCCCTCCTTAAAACTTAAATTACATTCACCCCTACGGCCTGAACTGCCGGAAGAAGGTACGAAGCTATTCCGCCCCGTGATGCCGAGGGAAAATAGTCCCCCACCCAAGAGCGCAGCCTGGAGCGGCGGGCGGGCGGCCGGGCGCGCGCTGGGGGCAAGAAGGTGAAGGAGGGCGGGGGGGGCACTGGAGCGCCCGGCGCTGCCTCCACACCCCACTGCGCTGCATTTCCTCCACCACGTGGAAGAATCTCGTGCGGGGGGCGCCCACGGGAGGCGGGGGCCCGGGTACCCCCCTGGCCGGGACGCCGCTCCTCGGCCCCCTCCCCCGCGCGGGGCCCGGCCGTCTGCTCCCAGGTGAGGGGCCGCGGCCGGGGCGGCAGTCCCCGCGGCGGTCTCCGGGCAGGGGCCGCGCCGCAGAGCCCCGGCCCGGCGGGGGGCCCTGCCCGAGCTACCTTTTATCCAGGCAGGCGATCCACTCGGCTGAAGAGGAAGAATGGGCAGCGTGCGCAGCGACCATGTTGGGCAGCGGCGCGCGGTGTCCCCGGCTGCGGCGACCTCCCGCGCTCGCTCTGCCTCTGCCTCCTCCTAGCCCGCGGCGCGGACCAGCTCCTCCCGGCCCGCCTCGCGACCGGCGCGGCTGCGACGGGCCCGCCCTCCCAGCGGGCTCCCGCGGCCTCCCGGGCGGGGGGCCGGCGAGGGAGGGGACTCGAGGGGCGGGACGCGGGGGACCCGGAGGGCCCGAGCCGCCCGCCCGCCCGCCCGCCCGCCCGCCGCTGCACTGCGGCGCCCAGGGGGTGGGGAGTCCCGCGGTCCCGCCCGCTGCGGGGAGGGGACGAGGGGCGACCCTGCGTGGCCGGCCACCTGCGACAGGTGGCCGCCACGTCTCAGGGAGACCTGGGCCGCGCCCCTCACCTCCGGGCCTCAGAAGCGTGGACGGAGGGAAGGCGCCACGGGTGGGGAGGGGGCGGGGGGGTGGCTGTCAGTGTATATATTTTTCAGACAGCGAATGCCACTAAAATGGCTGCTGCCTCCCTGTTTCCTTAGAAACCCTAGTCTTCCTCAGCTGTTGTCAAAACTTGCTGGCGGTTTTTGCTCACCTTTCCCGTTTCCCCTTTAAAAAGGAATGGAGAGGAGGGTTACCATGGCTTGGGGTGAGAACACCCACACTGGTCACCGAGTGTGGGATCCAGGGGAGAGTTTCTCCTGAGGGGTGAGGAAGGGGTGGAATGGAATGGGGAGGCAGTGCAGGCATGGTTGGAAGCAGGGAGGGGAAGCCAATGGGCTAGAATGGTTATCAGTGGTGAGTGAGGGAATGATAAGCCCAAGTCTGGCCTTGAACCCAGGAGCTGCTTGGGCTTCCATCACCCGCATCATGAAAAGAAACAGTTAAGAATGGGGAGTAGTGGAGCCACGAGCAGAACTGAGGTTTGGGGGGAGGGGGGGGAGGGGGGGAGGGGCAAGATCCCAAGGCACTCACCTGAACTTGGATGGTTGGCCCCACATGTCACTTGGGCCTGTCTCTGGTAGGTGTGCACAACAAATGTTATGCCTAGAAGTTGTTTGGTTACATTCTGCCAAAAACCAAATTAAGCTCTAACAGTTATTTAGGAATTTGGGGACAAGTTAAATCTTTTGGACTACTGCCAAACACTGTTTATATTTATGGTGTGATTTAGGGATAGATAATGGGGAAAGAGATAGCACTGCTAACCTCACTTTGGTTTTTTTTCTCCTGCCCTGCCTTCACTCCCCTGCTCAGAGGAGGTTCAAGGAGACTGGAGAATGAAACATTCTGGAATGCTTTTATCCTAATGAAACCCCTCCAAAGAATTTGCCGTTTTTTCCTCTGCTCAATAGCCAGGATCTGGTTTCAGACCTGCCAGGTATTCCCTCAGCAACACCTCCCTGCTCAGTGCTTGTCCCCAGATGACCTCCATCCTGTTCATTTCTATCATGTTTTAGGTAAGTAACATTTAAAATGTTATACTATACAGAGAGTACCAAACGTATTTCTGTTGTTGCTTTTTTAATGATAGAGGTATGAAGGAAGAAATGGGTCTCCTCTATTTATTAAGATTCATTTATAAGGAGCTCTTGAGAGCATTTCAAGGTTACCAAATGCTTTCTCAAAATGCCTTCACTCAGAGAATACGTGTAGGTAAGGAACTAGAGGAAAACATGACTTCATATGACGTGTCATTACCAGAGGCTCTGAGTGGACATGGGTTTTGACCATAATGCTGTAATAGTCACCATTTATTGAACATCCACCGAGTGTTAGATGCTATGCTGAGTTCTCTACAAGTGTTATCTCATTTAATCTTCAGAACATTCTATGAAGCCAAGCCAGAAGGACAGCTGCCCAGGGCACTATTCCACAAAAAGGGACAAATATCTTTGAAAATGTAATGAAACAGAGAAAATTATATTTATCAGTACTTTCAGGGAGAGTGTTGACTGGGTCGCAAGGAAGACACTGATGAGCTACTTGGAGTGGAAGTGAGAGCCCAAGTAGTCTAATGTGTATTCTAGGGAGCATAGGTCTAATGAACCTCAAGGGCTCTGTTTTGCTCTATGGGGAATCTGCCTTTCCTTGAAATAGAAGTTGAAGAATTACTTAAAGAATATCCTTTCAAAGGAACAGCAGTGGATCATTAGCTTATCCAGAGCCCTCACATGTTCCCATTTAGCCCTGGTGTTAGGTACCAGTAACTCCAGTATACTCACTAGCACAAGGACACTAAGCCTCAGGAAAGATTGATAATTTGCTCTCAAGAGCCCAGCTGCTGGACTGGGCGTTCCTGAATCAGATTTGGGGGTTCCCAAAGCACTTGCACTTCAGAGATGGAGTCACTGGTTTGGTCAAAAGAATGAGAGTAGAAGGCAAGTCAAAAATGACTGCCCAGGTGATCAGAACAAAATGGTTATAATTTTTTTAATGTAAAAATAGGGAAACTTGTGAGGAAGAAGGATAGAAGAAACCCTTGAAATGTCAGGAATAAGCTCACTGTTCTACGAATTACTCTTGTGGTCTAAAAGGGATTTGATTGCTGGTCAAGAACTATAGAAGTAAAGGAGCTGTTGCATGATTATCCTATTAAGAAGAGGAAGAAAATAAGGGATTTTCTTTGGTTTTGATGGGAAAGGCAAAGAACCAGAGAATATTTATTCTTTTTCTTTCTTTCAAAGAATGTAAATCAAGCCAGACTAAAAAAGACCACATACTGTGTGATTCCATTTAGATAAAAATGTCCAGAAAAGGCAAGTCTATAGAGACAGAAAGTAGTTAGGGATTGCCTAGGTCTGGAGGGTGGGAATGGGGAGTGACTGCAAATGGGCCCAAGAAATCTTTTTTGGAACGTTGGAAATGTGCTAAAATGGCTCGCGGTGATGGATGAACAACTCTGTAAATTTAAGAAACAATTATTGAATAGTATATTTAAAATGAGTGAATGCTGTGATAGCCACATTATATCTAAAATAAAAATGAAAAAGTAAATAATAATAAAAATAATAAACCTGTCTTGGAGAAATAAAAAGAACATGTATTGATCTTTTAGAGGAAAATAAAGAAAACTATAGGAGAAAAAGTATAAGTTACCCATAATTCCACCACCTAGAGATAATAATTTCTCATACTTCAGCGCATTTTATTCTAAATTTTCTATTTTGAAAAGATACTATATACATGTATGTATATATATATACACACCCATAAAAACATGCGTATAACTAGCTACTTACATTAAATTATGTATACAGTTGATCCTTGAACCATGCCGGGGTTAGGGGCGCAGACATACACACCACACCCACCTCTACCCTCCCAACCCTGCCTCCCCAAAACCCCCACCTCTGTGCAGTCAAATCTGCATATAATTTTTGACTGCCCAAAAACTTTACTACTAATAACCTACTGTTGACCAGAAGCCTTATCAATAGCAGTCAGCTCACTTACATTGTGTATGTTATATGTATTGTGCACTACATTCTTACAACAAAGTAAGCTAGAGGAAAGAAAAAGTTATTAAGACGATCATAAGGAATGGGCACCTGTGTGGCACAGTTGGTTGGGCATCCGACTCTTGGTTTCAGCTGGGGTCGTGATCTTGGTGGTCATGAGATCAGCCCTGCCTTGGGCTCTGCCTCAGTGCTCAGTGTGGTATTTGCTTAAGAACCTCTCTTCCTTGCCCTCTGCCCCCTCCCCACTCATGCATGCATGCACATTCTCTCTGTCAAATAAATAAATAAATCTTAAAAAAAAAAAGATCATAAGAGGAAGTACATTTACTGTACTGTCCAGATTTATAAAAACAAATCCACATATAAGTGGATCCCATGCATTTCAAACTCATGTTGTTCAAGGGTCAACTGTAGATAGATAGATAGATAAATAGATAGATAGATAGACAGATAGACATGCGTTCATACAAATTTGAAACCATTAATATTTTATAGGCTACTTTTTCTTTTGGAAGGGAAAAGTGCTGTACATGTTTAAAAATATCCTCCTTAAAAAATGTAATAACTACAAAATATAATTTATTTAAAGTATCTTCCTTTGAGGCCTGTTTTTTCATTGGCAAAAAATATTTGTTTAATCTTCTTCCTTTAGTTTAGTGAATTCTTTTTCTATGAGAAAGCTGAGATCTTCACTGAAGATCTCCAGTGAGATGAGAATAAGTTACAAGACCCAAGTTCGATAATGCCAGTTATTACTAGTTGTAGAACTTTGAGCGAGTTACTTAATGTCCAAGTTCCATTTTGTTCATCTGAGCAGAGGTCCAAAGTTAGGAATTTGAGAGACAGTCGAGATTAAGTTGCAGCTCCATTCTCTACTGTTTGACCTTACATGAATTACTTAATCTAAGACCCTGTTTCAACGTCTGTAAAGTGGAGACATTAATGGTATTGTACATGAATATAATGATTACAGATTTAGCATAAGTTCCAGGCACATAATGCATGCTCTATAACTCTTAACTATTGGTGTGATTATTAATTTCTGTACAATGCAGATAAATACCATCTGCCCTCTGCATTTGATGGGAACCTGGTGACAATCAGTTGAGATCTGTCATACTAAAGGGCCTTGGCATCTGTTAATTATGAATTTTGACTGTGTAGGATATAAAGGATGGGTCTGCCTCCACGATAAACACTAAAGTTTCCTGAGGACTATTTTAGACATGGTCTCGCAATCTTTTCTCCATTCACTCTATGTCTACCTACCTCTGTAGTTCTTCAAATGAGAACAATATATACTCACTGAGTAGTTATTGTAATATGTAGACCAACAGCACAGTGATAGAAGCCAGATAGGGCTTCCCATTTTCCTATCCCTGGGAATTCTATCATAGGTTAGGCATTCATTAGGCATCCCCATATTCGTGTATAGGGAGAATCTGATTCAGGCTGTTGTAGCTACCTCACTGGAGGGTGGGTTATTAAAACACATCCATCACTCCTGCTGGTGATATAACCAATTTATTGAAGAAGCAGTACTTCTGGGTGAAATTTTAACAGCCACTTTACTCATTATAAGAAAAAAAATGTTGTAGCCATATCGGGTGATGGATGTTAACTAAACTTATTGTGGTAATCACGTCACAAATATTGAATTATCGTGTTGTACGTCTGAAACTAATATTATATGTCAAATACACCTCAACTTAAAAACTAAATAAATAAAAGCAATTCTAATGTTTTCTCTCTCTGCTTTAAACTTGCTCAGTAGAGTAATTCTATCCCTGGCACTGGATATAGCTTTTTTGGTCACTTATAGATAATAGAAAGTACTACAGTTTTTCTATTAGAATGTCCAAACCAGTATATTACCAAAGACTTCAATCTTTATTCAAAGAGAATTCCCTCTTCCTCCCCCATCTAGAGCTGGTTGCAGACTTTTTTCCAGCCTTTAGGAAAGAGGATATGGACAGCTTCTTTTTTCCTTGTTCATTGTGTCCCTACTTAAAACCTGCTAGGTTTTACCCTTCCAGAATCAAAGGAGTAGTGAAGGAAGGAGAGAAAATGAGGGCAAGAAAGTTCTTCCTTGGCTGGGACAGTTGGCATCACATTTTCCAGGCCTGGCAAGTGTATCAAGCCAGCTCTGTCTCCTGGGTGTTTTCACGTATTCTTGGGCAGCCTTTCTGCTGGGCCTTCAACATAGGCAAGTGCCACTCTTTTGCATACCTGCTCCCCATCCAGACCTGGCTTTCCTGAGGTCCCCTCCAAACTGCCTCCTTCTGTAGGAGTCCCAATTTACCCTCCACCCACACCCCAGTTGTCTTCTCGAGCAGGACTTATAGGGGCTGCAAGATGTTTCTCTCCTGTGTGTCTCCCATCTGGTCCGTAGAAACACTCTGACAGTACAGACCAGTCCTAACAACAGCACTTACCCCCATTGCCAAGAAGTTCCCAGATCCTTTCCCCTGATCTGTAGATTCCAGGGCTGGAGTCAGACATAAATCCCCCATGGCCTTGACTTTAGGGAACTGTTCTCAGAGTGGCCCATTGAAGCCCTCCCTTTCCCCACCCTTGGTGGTAGGAGTCATAGCACAGCTCTCACCAAGAAAATATTCCCTGTGAAATCCTCCTCAGTCTCCACTTCCTAGACACTTTTATTCCCTCCTGCGATAAGTTGTAGACTCATGAAACTGGTCTTTGGTATTTTGATTGAAAGCCTGCATCTTGGCACCTCCCTCTGGAATTTCATATCTATCCTATTTTGGTGCCCCAGATGAAACTTGAATTTAGCATCTGTGACAGGCTAGTGAAAATTGAATCAGGCCAACTTCTTTTCCATACCTGCAACATTAATGCCTACTCAACCAACACAATTGCCTTTTCCAGGTAAGGCTATTCACCTGGGAGTTGTAAGGAATACCACAGGAATGCCACACTCATTAGGAAAGTGTAGCTCACATGGTCTCTTGAGCTTTCTAAAAACGAAATGCATAATT